CGGGATACCAAAAAGGGAATATTCATCAAATTATTCCCTAATTTAATTTTTTTAAAAGGTTACATGATGATTTTTCGGAATAAACGGGCTATAGATACCCAATTATTTAAATATGATATCAGATCTAGAGTTATTAAACTACAGTAAATATATTTAAGGTTATAAACATATTCATGAAATATTTTTATATTTCACTTCTTCTTTCACACAAGTACAATGAAATAGTATCTTAAACAGTGTCATTGCCTTGAATCCGTGCTTTCCAAAGATATATTATAAGTATACCTTCTGACTAGTACTTCCAGAATTTCATTTTTGACCTGGATAAGCATTTTTCTCCTTTATTTAATAATCAAATTCATTCAAAAGTTATATTTAGCCTTTTTTCATAACTTCTAACAATGAGAACAAGTTAAATATTTAAAATAAACCAAATTAAAGGTATTTTAGAGGAAAACAATTTGAAAATTGGACATTTAAATCTTGTAAAGTGACATAAATGAGGATAAGACCACTTAATTATACAATGATACACTGAGTTTAATCAAAATCGTTAAGGGCCATTTTTGAGAAAATTGTAAAAATGTATATCACCGTTGATATAATGTGGCACTTCCGGTTAGCCAATTTTAGGGAAAAAGTTGTCATACCTGAGCCATATACAAACCTTAAATGCATAATATTAGTTTTGTCCTATTCGTTTTTGATCTAGACTTTTAATACAGACAGAGGTCATTTTGTGGTGTGTGTGTGTTATTTAGTAGGTTATTTGGATTCAGGCAAACTCAAAACGTGTATTTCTATTGAAAACTGAGATTCGAAAATTTTCTCGATCACAATACTTTTCCTTACTATATATTACATCTATGGAGAAGTGAAAATAAAAAAAAAATGACTTAATAAGGACTGAAAAGAATTTTCATTTTCATTATGAAAAAAAAAATTAGTATGAAGACATAAATATTTGGTGCAGCACATGCATCACACAACTTTTATTTAACACCCGTTTCTTAACAAAAATAATTATTTTCAGCCAAAAGGAAGTGAAAGAAAAAATTATAGGCTGCATGAAATATTATTTAACACAATTGATTACCACCATATGATTTTCACAGCCATCTAATGTATTATATTTATTTTTGTCACTAGCCATTTCCTTTTACAGCTGTATATTTTAATTATTTATTTGATTATAACAAACAATTACGTGCCTCAAAATATTTTTAGTCCGACAAGAGTACAACTGACAAAGAAGACAATATTTATATAAGATTAAGAGTACATTTATTTATATTTCATTGTGGGTATGAGGTAAAAGTACCATTATAGACACTTTAAGAGAAATATTCAGCATTAATGTGAATTCCAGCTTTAGTTCTGATGGTGGATCTTCGCAAATGGGTTTAAATGTCAAAAAATATAATCTTTTATTGAATTTTTTTATATATACATTCAATTAATTAATTATTCATGAAAAATTTCAGGGATTCTGACAGCCTATTTCGCACTACTAATTGATACTCAGGTTTTTGGAGTCAATTGGTTTTTTAAATCATTAAAAGACCCAAAAATAAATTTTTGACAGTTTTAAACTAAGAAATAGCTAAGCACCAGGGTTAAACAAATCAGATCAACATTTTTAAAAGCCATTTCATGATTTTTATCAAGAGTGATTTTCATTTTTGATCATAAGTGATAAAAATCATATTCTGACTATAATTTTTTTTTCAAGATTTTAAAAATCAATAATAATAATTTTTTAAATCAGAAATTTAAATTTTGTATATTATCTCTATGACATATTTTAGTCTGGAGTAGTATGTGGAAAATATTGTTATCAACCATTAGCAACAGAATATCTTTATATCCTAAATCCATTAGAAATTTTGACTAACAAAAAAATATATGTACATACACATTACATATAAAGCACTTTCAGAAATATAATATTAAAAAATGTGTATATTAATAACGTATACAAAATTATTAATATCTTATTTAATTTGTATGTAAAAGGTGATTTTTATTTTCTGATCTAAATTTTTTTATCACAATTTAATCATTAATAAATAATGCAAAATCGTGTGACTCACTGAGTGATCATTCAAATTGTTATTCTACTTTAAATTTTAAAATAAAAAAAGTTAAAAATATTATAAAAACAGTGCAAAAATGTGAATATTTGTTGATATTTTAATCAACACTAGTACTAATGAGGCCCTTTGCACAAACACCCTTAATTTTGTAACCAAAACCTGACAGTAGAACTGATAAGTCATGGAAATAAGGAAGGCTCATTTAACCACATTTACAAAATCCTTTGTACCATACCGTGGTTTGGGTAATGTGCTAACATTAAGATTTCCCTCATTTATAAGGATGAAAAATAAACTTATTATTTTCTAGATACACGTCCTATACAGTTTTTCCATTTGATTTACACAAGATATTTTTCAATATATAACCACGCATGTCATCTCAAACCTAAATCTGAAATAGGGAACCGAAAGAAAATTAACTGTTTCATCATTTATATTTGTTTAACAAACTATAATTATCATTTTATTCTTATGTAAGACACTATAATAATATTCTTATATAAGCATATAAATTCTTTATCTAACTTACTTTGAATGGTCTTTGAAACTATGGATAGAGACTTTCACCTTTAAGTCATTAAAGTTTTTCATTAATTTTATCATTAGACTGTTTACTCCTGACACTTCCAAGCCAAACAGCTCACTAAATAATGAATAATTTGTTTTTGTTGTCAAACAACTCTGAAGCAGTTTGGTCCATTATTATAATCTGGAATGTTCAATGAAGGACTTGATAGATCTAACTCTTCTTATGAGATATTGGGTGCATCAACCCTTGTAGAACTTCCACTGGCTTCATCTTCTACTTCCATAATTTTCAATGAATTGTTATGCGCAGTAGCAAATACATGATTCAAATTTGAAGTAAATTTTAATTAATGTTTCTCATTAATTAAAATTAATGACAGATGATTTATGAGCATTTTTTGAACAACATCACAATTGGGTTAATCCATTTGAAATCATCCAATTTGAATTAATTTTGTTGCTCGCATTTTTGATTTTATAATTTTTTTACCTGTTCTTCCATATGTATTTGAGAGTTCAAAGTCACAGTTAAATTTCATCATTGAACAGTACAAATTTGATCATTGAGACTCAATTTGTTCTATTAGTTATATTGCAACAAATATGGCTGCCTAGTATGAGTCAGAATCAGTGTATCCTACCTACTCTAACTGCGGCATTTTTATTTTGGTGATATCAAAACAAAACAAAAACTAAAATTATTATGATGTTTTATTTTAAATTTGTTGGCCTCACAATATATCCAATAAGTAGTGAGGAAAGTCATTAAAAAATTGAAAACTATACAATTAAAATTAACATAAAACAAGACATTTGGCGCACCAATACTGTAATAATGAAAAGAGTCTCAACTTTATTTATTAATTTTTTTTTTTGTATGTAGTCCTATCAGTGTACTATTTGCTGATGAAATTTCAATATTTAAAACCTTGTCCTTTTTTAGATGTGAATTTTCAAAAATGGCCAAGAGTCATTTTCAGCAAGATTTGAATTTGAATATCACAAAAGAGATTGAGTGAAAATGAAGAAACTTGTACATTTTATAACTATTTATATTTATAACTAATTATTTAATAAGGATATATGGAACAAATTTAAAGACTGAGACTCAATCGGCTCTATTTGTTATTAAATAGTTGATTCTCAATGATCAAATTCATATCACACATTCCTATCATTAAGATGTATAAACTGTATAGCCATGGAGCAAGGACCCAAAAATCGACCTCATCGCAGACCAAGTTTTGATTGTAAATTACGAAAGTGTATGTTGTTCTGAGTACAAAGAACCTTGTCTGCCCTTCCATAGCCGCAGCTTTCAAAAATGACTGACCATTGCAAAAAATCTGAGAAAAGTTTTATCTTTTTAACATGTATATATTGGTTTAGACATGTTAAAAACAAAAACAAATCACCAAGGGAAAACTTTTTGCAGCCAAAAGTCAAATTTTTTACCTAGAACTTCTAAAAGGTGTGTAAAAGCGAAAAATGTACCAGTTAATAAATTAAAGAACGTTAAATTGTGTGTCGAACGAGTACATAAACTTTATCATTTGGTTGGTAAAGTATAAAACCACGGTCAACCAATGCTGATTTTTACCAAATTGGTCAAAAACTGAGACAAATTACTATAAACGGCCCTGTAAAATGGAAATGAGTTCCCCGAGAGGAAAAACCCACACAATTAAAATTGTAGAGCATCAAATTTTGCATCCACTGAGTACTGACATTTTTATTGTAGATCAATTATATATCTCAAATCGGGATTTGTTATTCCTTTATAAAATTCAGTATCTTTCGGCACATTGTTTACCAAAATCCTTTGCTGTTGAGAGGTGGAAAAGAGGCTTATACTGTATGTAATAGGCTCTAAACAATAATAACTCAGTATAAAAGACACGCATACTGTTGAAATATTGAAAATCATGTTTACCTTCATTACCAATTTCTAACCATCGGGAGATTACCGCATTATTTATTAGATTACAGAGTTAAAGGCATTTTCCCAAAACATGTTCTCAGTTGAAAAGAAAATTAAAAATGGCTGCCGTGAAAAAACTGTGATCCTCAAAAATTTATTAACTACGGTTTTGAACTCTCAAATAAATATGGAATAACTGGAAAAAAAATTATAAAAATCAAAAATGTCGAGCAGCATGGTCTGCGTGATTTCAAATGGATTGACCAATTGAAAAAATTCATATTTTTTTTTCAAAAATGTGACAAAGCCTTTGTTGGGACCTGAATCTTTTCCCAGAAAATTATACCTTCACGATTTTGTGACTCTATAGAGTTATTATAATAAATATTCATATCACCACTTCCCAAATTACAGACCAGTTTGTCAACCTCAATACAAGCAAATATATAAATTTAGCTGCTGAGAGTACTCAATGTGAATAATTATTTTAAACTCTGATATAGAAATTTTTACTTGTAGCATTATAATAAGATAAACTAACCTTGCACTGAAGATGGTTGCGAGAGCTAAGAAGCACCCATCGGCAACTTGGGGTTTAGCAGTGTAACATCGATCAACCACCCAGTCAAGCAATGAACCAATGTCAGAATTACATTCAAGAAGAAGAACCACCATTTCGCAAGCTAGTTTATAAACCTGTAAATAGAAAAAAAACACTCAAGTTAGGTGCACAAAAAAAAAAACTCAATAAATTCTTGAGCATCAACAAGTGAAGTAAATAATTTTAAATTTGAGTAATTTTTTTTTTTTAAATGGCTAATATATGGTGACAGTCCGATGGGACATGAGATGAGATTGAAGTGACAATGCATTGTTTCATTAAACTCATCTATGGAGTTTTACCCCAGATACTTCATGTACCAGCTCTCCATATACAGTTGGTATGCCGAGTTAATGTAGCTTTATCTAAGTTTCGTTGGACACCAATATTTCCTAAGCATTTACTTAGGGATGTTGCGATATCATTCGATAGGTAGAAAAATGCCAATTTTCAATTTTTTTTTTTTTTTTTTTTTTCAATCAATCCCTTGATGGGTTGTAGTAGGAGAGGTTTTTTTTTTTTAATATAAATAAATTTAATATTTAAAAATATAAAATGAGTGTATTAACCTATACTAATATATTTTAACCCATCTAAATATATCAGCGCATATCATCGAGCTATTGCAAAAAGTCACCAAGTACATTTATGATGGAGCTAAAATTTTAAGAATCTTATTATGAATTTCAACTTGATTTTTCTATGAAAAAAACAATGAGCATAAAAATGACACTAACAATGTTATATATGAAATATAGTAGCAATAAGCGCACAATATTCTGATTGTGCACAATCCCATTGATCACAATGGGAAAATTCATCAAAGTTCTTAATAATTTAGGCTTTTGAAAAGTCATAAATGGTCAACAACTTTTTACAATAAAATGACATTATATTTTAAATTACTTTGATAATGATATCATTTGATTACAAAACAAAAAAAGGCTCACAGAAGAGGTACAGAAATTATACTTGAAGTCACAGTTATTTCATAAGTCACTGTTAAAAGAACTTTCCAAGATAGAAAAGTCTCAACAGAAAATTTAGGAGCCCCTGAATTGATTAATCCAAAAAAGATATAGCTACAATAAAAACAAATTTAATTTAACTCATTTGCAGGTTAATAAAGATAACAGAAACAAAGATGATAAGTTTATGAACATCCTGTTGGAGATTAAATTCTGGCAGGATTCATTTATACGACCAAACTTCTCCGATTGCCCTTTAGTCTCACTGATCCATGGTCAATTTCTAGTATAGTTAGAAAATATATAAATAATAAAGGAAATTTTTTTTATTCTAAAACTTATGTAAGTCCAACAATGCTTATGCAAAGGTTTTGGGTGAATGGGAAGAAAAAGTAAAATTAAACAATAATAATAATTGTTATAAATTAATAACAAAATAATCAAGAGACAGGTTATTATTTATTGGAAAAATTCCAAACCACACAGCCTTATAGACAAAGACAAACCCGTCAACGTTTCGAAAATTCAGGCATCACCAGGTCAGAAAAACAGCTAATCGAACCTCACTCCATGAAATCCAAATGCATACTCACACTGAATATGCTTCGGTTTTGGAATGGTTTTTCCAATAATAATAAAGTAAATAAAATAACAAATTATGCTAATCCAGCAGTTCAAAGCTTAACAGTTATTGGGAGGTTGTATCAAATACACCACCCACCAACACATGATAATTATTTCACTATTTAACCTTATAACAATACTATGATAGTTTTGTGTTTGTATTATTCCTGTACCTGAATTAGAATCAATAAAAAAAAAATATTACCAACCTTAGGATCCTCTGAAGCTAGTAAATGATCAATCCAGGGGTATAGTGAACCTTCTTCAGCTAAAGCATTAGGATCAAAGCAGGGACCGCAGCACAGAACTGCTGACATTGCTTGAAGTGCTTGGAATTGTAACTGGGTGGGGGGTCCATTTCCGGCCTCTCCAGGTCTTCCAAGAGGTCCAGCCCACATCATAAACAAATTAAATAAGCTCCTTCTCAATTCTCTTTTAAGCAAACTTTGATGGCTCTCCACTGGGAAAAGAAAATCAGAATAAATTATATTAATTTTAAAAATATTTATCATGAAATGCTTTACTTGTGAATGTAATAATCTGTATGACAATTATAAAATATATAAATAAAAAACATATGAAAGAAGAACTATTTTTAAAAATTGTTCATTGTTCAGGATTGTTTAAAGTAGTAGTTATAAAATAATATTTTCTTTTTTCCGGTTGGCGCTACAGAGCATGTAAATCTTTGGCTACGAGTCTCTTTTCAGACTTATATATTGCTTGCTGGAGCACAAATAGCCTGAAGGGGGTCACCCAACCTCATATTCCCTAGCCACCCTAATTCCACAGCCGATTCCATGGGGGCAATCTGACAGTATCCTTCCCACAGACTCCATTGGGTTCTATGATAGTGAAAAATCGGTCTAAATCCATGAATTATGTCTGTCCTGAGTCAGCAGGCACAAGAGGACTTATATTTATTTCCCTGAAGTAAACCGTCCATGGAACAAATCTCAAGGAGGCTGCTGACATCCTGGGAAACCGTATCTTGATTTCCAGTTAAATACATGGGGTAGTATCATCAGTCCTATGCCTGGTCAGTGTGAATATGAGTGACTGACAGGTCTCACATACCCAGTGGAGGGGAAAGAGAACGCTCGGGCAGTATGACTTTCCCTGGTGGATATTCATTCAAAACTATGTCACCCATCCATGTACTTACCACACTTGATGTTGCTTAACTTTGATTACCAATTACAAATACCTTACCACGCTCAGCTATCCCAGTCCCTCTGTTTACATGTAACATAAAAATGTAACCTGTACCATGTACCAATGCAACCCATGAAGGATCTTGGGTTCAGAACTTAGTAAAGAAGAACTGTTTCAAGGCCAAGAGTTGTGCAAGGAGGTGATTGGGCCAAGATCATGCTTAGCCACCAGATTTTCTCCTTAATTAATTATTTGATTAAGAACATCCACATTTATAGAGGCTGGATGTGCCCCAAGAGGGTTGGGTCTCTTGATCTCAGGGCAGATGTAACAGAATAAATAGTTACCTAACAGTCAGTTTCAACATTACTGGACATCAATAGTTAGTTGTCTTTGGCCTAATATAAAAAAGAAAGTGGTAAAAAACAAAATAATTTCATTCCATAATAACTGAATTTTTATCAAACTCCTTAATATTTATCAAATTAAGCAATGAAAAAAATATGCCTCAGGCATCCCACAATGATTTTCATTAATTATGACATATTATTAAAAAATAAGTAGATTACACTATGTATTGTGTTTTTTTATTATTTTGACATGGATATAATAACAAAATTCAAATAAATTTTGTTTGTAATTTTTCGATACATAAAGCCAAAGATATACTTACATGGGAAACTCTTCAACATATGTCGAATAAAATTACAAAAATGTAGTTTTATATCAGTTAATGAATCTTTATCAGGTTCCATTTCAAGACAAAGCCTTGCTCCATCAATATACTCAACAATAGTAGGATGAAGAGACTGAGAATCTCTCTCAAGCACACAGGAACTGCAAAATTTAATTTCAAACATATTGTTTAAGTAATACAATAAACTTAATAATGAGATGATAAAACATTAGTACGAGAAACTATAATATAATATCATTATAATAGCATCTATAGCAGAAATAATGGCTCTATTCGATTAACTTAATTAGATTCTAAGAACCAAATTGATTAAAAAATTCTTGTTGACAATAATAAATAAATAATAATAATAAGGCTTAGCGAACCCGAAGGTTCGATGCCGACACCACCAATCGCTTGTTACACACCTCCCTCCACCGTTCGCCGTCCAAACCCAGTCCCTTCAGATCGGCTTTAATGCAATCTTCCCATCTTCGCTTCGGTCTACCCCTCGGACGCTTACCATTCGGCACAGCAAATATTAACCTTTTAGGAATTCTCTCGTTACTAAGCCCAACAACTCTACAAGCCCATTTGATTCGCCGCGATGAAATTACATCAATTATATTACCCGGATACATCTCACGCAATTCGGCGTTGTGTAACCGTCTGAACTCTCCGGTTAACTCATCCTTTTTCGGTCCGAATATTCTACGCAACACCTTATTTTCAAAAACCTTAAGACGCTGCTCATCCCTTAATGTAAGCGGCCAAGTTTCGCATCCATAAAGAACTGTAGGTAAGATAATTGTTTTATAGATTCTAATTTTTAAGTTTCGGGACAAGAGGCGCGAACTAAGTAGTTTTGTCACAGAAAAATAACAAGCATTCCCCGCCTTCAGTCTAACCTTAATCTCCTCTTCAATTTCGTTTTTTCTAGTTATCGTAGAACCTAGATACCTAAATTTATCTACCTGTTCAAACATATTACCATCTATATCGATATCACCAGTAGTATTGCCATTTTTGCAGCTAACCATATATTTTGTTTTATCCACGTTTATTTCGAGTCCTAGTTCTTTCCCGGCTTTCATTAACGTTGTCGTATTTAGTTTTATAGTTTCAACGTCTTCGCTTAACAGTACCAGATCATCAGCATAGCCCAGCACGGATGTTGTCCCTCCCAGATCCAACCCTTTCTCGGTTCGCATTACCTCCCTAATGGCATATTCTAATGCCAAATTGAACAGGACAGGCGAAAGAGAATCCCCCTGTTTTAAGCCCGAACGAACCTCAAATTTTTCGGACAAATTATTACCGATTCTAACTTTATTGAGTGTCTCCGTCAAGCACATCCTGACTAGATTTACTAGTTTTTTTGGAATCCCCTGCTCGATTAGAATATTATACAGTTTCTGGTGGTCAATAGAATCGTAAGCCTTTTTAAAATCTATATACAGCTGGTGAACAATACCGTTATACTCCAATTTTTTCTCTAATATTTGCCGTAAAGAAAATATTTGATCAATAGTCGAACAATTCCGTCTAAATCCGCATTGGTAGTCTCCGATAATTTCCTCGGCGTATTCCGTGATTCGACTGGTTAAGATTAAAGTGAATATTTTGTAACATACCGGAAGGAGTGAAATTCCTCGATAGTTATTACAGTCCGTCCTCGGACCCTTTTTGTGAATCGGAATAAGAATAGATTCTTTCCATTCTTCAGGTAATTTCTCGTTCACCCAGATCTTTTTAACCAACCGATGTATTTTAGAAACTCCAGCTTCTCCGCATGCCTTAATTAGTTCAGTAGGAATATTATCGATTCCCGCTGCTTTATATGATTTTAATTTTCCGATAGCTACTTCAACTTCCTCTTTACTTGGTCCTTCTATTAACGGTTCAGCACTATGGTACTCAGAGGGAGGACACAGATCATAATTTCCCGTATTTAAAATATTGTCAAAGTGGTCCTTAAACTTATTCAATATGTCAACCGGATCGGTCAGAATATTGTTATTATCATCCCTAATTCCAGACGTTACGGGCCCTACGTATTTACGTGATCTGTTTATACCTTTGTACATGTCTCTTACGTTATTTCCGATTCTGTTAGTTTCTATTTCAATTATTTTATTTTTAAGATACTCCCTTTTTTTATTTTTGAGCAATTTTGTCGTTTCGTTCTTTGAGATTCGGAAGTATTCCAGATTGTCTTCGCTAGGATTATTTAGAGCTTTTAATTTAGCGGCTTTTCTTTTTTCACACATGTTTAAGCAATCTTCATCAAACCACGGTTTGTTATTCTTATTTTCCTTTTTTCCTAGACACGAGTTACCGACCGCTTTAATATTATCTCTGATCTCTATCCATAACTTGTCAATATCCTCGTGGTCCTCGTCAGGAAGCTCTAAAGCTTCAAACCTATTCTTAACTTCTAGCTCGAATTGGTTTCTAATTGATGGATTTTTTAATTTTTCCAAATTAAAATTCTCAAAATCGAAACGGTTTTCTTTTCTCTTTTTTATATTAAGTTTTTGTCGAAGTTTCGCGATTACTAATTCATGATCCGACCCACATTCTGCTCCGCGATAAGACCGTACATTAATTATACTGCTTTGCCAGCTGTGTTGTATCAAGACATGATCGATTTGATTTCGTGTTTGCGAATCCGGTGATGTCCAAGTATATTTATGAATATCCTTATGTTTAAACGTCGTACTTTTAATTATCAGGTTTTTCGAGATGGCAAAGTTTATCAGACGGATCCCATTATCATTACTATATTCGTGCAAACTTTCTTTACCAATCGTCGGAATATAAACTTCTTCCCTTCCTACCTTTGCGTTCGCGTCACCTACAATTATTTTCATGTAGTTTCGTGGTAGTTTATCATAAATCCATTCGAGTTTATCGTAAAATTCACTTTTGACTTCATCGTCACTGTCTTCGGTCGGACAATGTATGTTTATTAATGCGATTTTAAACCAACGTCCCTGAAATGTAGCTACCGAAATTCTATCACTAAAGAATTGTACGTCCCTCAAAGCGGATAGTAATCTACGCCTAATTAGAAACCCGGTACCTAAACAATGATTCTCGCTTCCTCCGTACCAAATAGTGTACTTCCCTTCCCTCATCGAGCCCTCCCCTGGCCAGCGAACCTCTTGCAGAGCCACGACATCCAAATTGTACCCATTTACCTCATTCGCGACCGATTTTAGCCCCCCTGCTGTGTTTAAACTCCTTACGTTCCACGTACCAATATTTAAATCCCTATATTTCAACTTGCGGCATGAATCCCCTAAAGCAGTCCCCACCCGGAGACCCGAACGGGGGACTAGTTTACCTCCGGATAATGAGCGTTTTACCTTAGGGAGATCCATGACTTTTTGTGGTGTTTGGTGAACTAAAGATATGTGAGTAGGGCGTTCAATCCTACGTCACACCCTCCAGCAAGTCTGGTGGGCCCCTACCTCCAGCAAGTCTGGAGGTCCCCTCCCTCCAGCAAGTCTGGAGGGCCCCTCTCATTGTTGGTCAGCGAGTCCATCGGACTTAGCCGGGAGG